GAACGTGCTATCCATGACTTCCTCAGCGTCGCGGATGCTCCAAAGTGAGTCCATCCGCAGCTCCAGAGCCGTCATGCGGTCTAACGAGAGCTGCAGCTGGACACACTTCCTGCACATGTAGGAGTCAGGGACATCAACCGCGTCCCTGACCTCCCACATTGAGCAAGAGGAGCATAACACAGGTCTGGGATCTCCTGCCATTTTTACTCTTAAGCTTAACTTAGTCCTACTATAATATCAAATACTAGATAAATGAAATGAAATGAAAAAAAATTTACCAATCATTCTACTTAGCAGCACACGATTTAAAAAAAAAAGAAAAAGAAAAACTTTATCTTCTCAACACACCAGAGTCTTGATTTTGGTTAGAGGAGGAGGGTGGTTGGGACACACTACACGTGTAGTGTCTCGGGTTTAGCCACTGCCCAAATGTATCAGTTCACTCACCTTCCCAGAGCGTAATTCGACCGCTCCCACTCAGCTCCACTGCCGAAATGAAGAACTTATCTTCCTGGCAGCTCCCTGGTCCTCACTGTCACCGTTCCCGATGCTGCTGCAAAAATGGAGCTGGGGCTTTTTTCATTGGAGCGAAGAAGGATGAGAGGTGACTTGATAGAGGTGTACAAGATGATGAGAGGCATAGATAGAGTGGATACCCAGAGACTTATTCCCGGGACGGAAATGACTATTACGAGGAGGCATAATTTTAAGGTGATTGGAGGAAGGTATAGGGGAGATGTCAGAGGTAGGTTCTTCACACAGAGAGTGGTGGGCATGTGGAATGCGCTGCCAGCAGTGGTAGTGGAGTCAGATACTTCAGAGACTTTTAAGCGACTCTTGGATAGGCACATGGAGGATAGTAAAACGTGGGGTATGCAGGGTAGTTTGATCATAGAGTAGGATAATAGGTCGGCACAACAATGTGGGCCGAAGGGCATGTACTGGGCTGTACTGTTCTATGTTCTATATTAAATCAGCCATCCCCTATGGATAAGCCGTACGTGTACACAGCTTCTGCTCTGATGAGGAGGAATGAGAAAAACACCTGAACTGAAGGACGCTCTCGTGGCAACACGATATGTTGCTCAACTCATCGATCGCCAGTTCCGACGTGCCACAGCGAAAAACTGTAATGACCTCCTCAAAAGACAGACACGGGATATATCCAATATTTACCCTTCGTCATCCAGTTCTTCCCGGGACCGGAGAAACTACGCCATGTTCTTTGCAGCCTTCAACACTTTATCGATGATGATGAGCACCTCGTCAGGATCTTCCCCATGTCTCCACTTCTCACCTTCAAACAACCGCCAGACCTTAAACAGACCATTGGATTCAGAATTGGCTGACCCTTAGAATTGGATTCAGAATTGGCTGACCCTTAGAAGACAAAGAGTGGTAGTGGATGGAAAATATTCAACATGGTGCTCAGTTTCAAGTGGTGTACCACAAGGATCTATTCTGGGTCCTCTTCTATTTGTGATTTTTGTAAATGATTTGGATGAAGGAGTGGAAGGGTGGATTAGCAAGTTCGCGGATGATATGAAGGTGGGTCGAGTTGTGGACAGTGCGGAGGGCTGTTCTAGGTTACAAAGGGACATTGATTGGATGCAGAGCTGGGCTGAGAAGTGGCAGATGGAGCTTAACCCTGAAAAGCGTGAGGTGCTTCATTTTGGAAGGACAAACTTGAAAGCAGAATACAGGGTTAATGGAAA